GAAAGCCAAGGAAGTATGTTTATTTCACAGCAGCTCTTGAGACCCTCAGTCAAACAACAGGTCAACATCCACACAACTTGAAGGGCTACAGACCTTGGGAAGGAAGCACAGATATGAACAAAGTGGTCTGGCAAGCAAACGGTAATATTACGATCAATACCTAGCAGTGGCTAGTGAACACATAAAAAGTGCAATAGGCCTTCCATTTTGATTTAGTACAATGACCTGGGTCCAAAATACAACTAAAGGTGAAAGGCTTTCTGAGGATCAGGGCACCAGACTGAAAAAAGGAAGCATTGGCTTCTACAGAAAAATATAGGAACCTTACAAAACAGACAAACAAACACCTTCCTAACCCCAAAGTTTTGAACGGTAGAGTGTACACTAGTATAATTGTTATATAAATGTATGTCATGAATAAAAACATATAAGCCTGGTTTCATAGACAGATCATAGATTAAACCAGGATTAGAAAAAAAATCAATAAAATCATTTAATTATTGGTGTGCAAATAATGGCACTGACATATTTTAAAGGTGTCATTTAATGCCATTTTCATACAAGTTAAAGGGTTAGTTCACCCAAAAATGAAAATTAAGTCATTAATTACTCACACCCATGCTGTACCAACCCCGTAAGACCTTCGTTCATCTTCGGAACACAAATGAAGATATTTTTGATTAAATTTGAGACGTGGATCACTGCTACATAGGCTGAGGGATCGAAACTTGGCGGCCCAGAAAGTCAATGAAGAAAATATTTAAATATTCCATGTGACTACAGTGGCTCAAGTATAAGTTTATCAAGGGACAAGAATACTTTTTGTGCGAAAAAACAAACAAAAATAACGACTTTATTCAACTATTCCTTTTCTTCCTTGTAGGCCTGAGACGAGAGTTCAATAGATTTCTTTTACATATTATTTACTTTTACATTATCTTCATTATATGTACAATAAAATAAAATGACACAACCCTGTCTCTGTTTGTTAAAAGTCAATAAAAATCAATGTTTCATATTTTTAAAATGAAAACAAAAAGATCATGTTCATTTTGTTATAAATATATGCAGTGAAGATAATCAATGTACATGTTGCCTGAACCACATGACCAATAGGCTAATATGTTTAAGATTTTTTTTTTTAATGAAAAGAGGCTGAGTGGTGTTTTATAACATATTGTTGACGAAAAGAGGCAGAGTTGTAGCATGTTATTTTATTGTTGCGTAAAACATACATAAATAGATAACCGGAGTAGCCAGAGCGTGCTGAGTGACGCGTCCAGACTTGTGTCCTCTCGTCCTTGGGAGTTTGTTCTCCTGAGTCCAAATTGGCAAGTCCGAACTAGCAAGGATGCAAGTCCCAAGTTTGCGTACTTGGTATTGAGAAACGGCCCCGTGCTCATCGAAAAGGCAACTGGACACACAAACAGGTGTTCCTGATTGACTAAATGGTAAATGGTTTCAAAAGTTACATTTTTGTCGCATTTGTGACCAGAAGTAACCAGGAGCCCTGAAATTTTGGTGAATCAGTCGGCAAACTGCTTCACAGCAACAACTTTGACAAAGTTACCAAACTCCATCCTTGTTGGAATAGGTCCGTGAGTGTTACTGATCATTAAGTTTGGTTAATTTAGTTTGGTCATAGCTTCTGTTAGAATGGATGAGTGAAAAAGCAAGGTGTTAACTTTCCCACAGGCTTCCCTTAGGCCTCTCTGCTCAAGCTGAAAACACAGCCTGACATTCAGCACACACACACACGCGCGCGCGCGCACACAGAGAAAGAGAGATTAAAGGAAGTTTGGAAACATGCCTGGGGCTTCCTTTATATATAGGGAGATTTCACTGTTCTGGGGGAGAGGATGGGTTTGATCCCTCACTTATTGCTCCCTTTCATTTCTGAATGATTCTACAGAGAGATGACCACTTAACCTCCTTGCTTCTTCCCTGAAGCCACCCTGAAGTACACAATCCCTAACAAATGAAGGACAACTTAAAATATGGACTATATCATATATAGCTTACTTATCTTAAAATGTTTTGGGATGGCTTTGCTGCACTAATACTTGTAAATACTCCATACAGAAGCTTGAATTGAAGGAGAAAGGGAGTAGAGAAAGCTCACCCAAAACATTGTATTCTGTCATTACATTATGTAAGCTGGTATGCATCAAAATGAAAAAAAAAAAAACACTTCTAAAATATCATAGAATCAAAATACGTAAATGTCAAAATATAATAAGTGGTCCAAACCACATCTGCACAATATTCAAAGTCTTGTTAAATCATACAATAGCTTTGTGTGATGAACAGACTGAAATAATTCCTTATAATTCCCTTCCCCACTCCCCCAAGTTAAACTGATAATAAGGCTGCCAAAATAACAAAAATAATTATAATAAAAAAATAAATAAAATTACTTTACTTTAATACTCTGAAGTAAAGTAAAATACTTTTTGAAGTAAAAATACTTTGAAAGTGTAGTGGAAATGAACTACAAGCACAGTCATCACAAAAACCTTTGTTGAAGAGCAACACAAGGGTTTATGTGAACCCAATCTATAAATTCTGAACTTCTGGCACTAATACGGTCATAGAAAATCAGACTGTGCCTCCAGCCGCATAAAAAACAAAACAGTCCATGCTGCAGTATACTGTAAAATCATTCTCAGAGTAGAACCCTTGTAGTCGCTTTGTCCACATCCTCAGTATCCTTTGTACAGTCTTTGTACATATTATTGCATTGAATGCAACAGGAGGTCAGATCTACAGAATTCTGTAGGTCTTTCTATGGTCCTCTGAAAAGGAATACCAATTTTCTGATGACAAAAGAAGTATGTGTAAAACATGTTTCCATTTTTTTTTTTTTTAATAGGGGGCTATTTAATGTGTTGTGTTGCTGTGGGACACAGATTGAGTAGCTCAAAGTTCCAAAAGCTTTTCTTTGCCCTTGCTGTGATGTAAAAAGTTCATGCAACGTTTTGAGTGTTGAGTGCAACATGATGATGGGACAAAGAGTTCCAGCATGGCAAACAAGTGCAAAGACCAACAGATGGCATGGTTTTGGGGTCAGTTGTTTAAAATTGGTCTGTGAATGAATAAAATATATTTGTTTACTTTCATGGTGTCCTTTCACAGTTTATCGCTCACTCTCAACAACTATACTTAGTGTACAACAGTGTATCACAACTATCACAACAGCTGCGAGAAGACCTTGGGGCTTGGGTTCAGGAATCTCATGTGCAGAGCCGGCTCTCCCTAAAAGCGAACTAAGCGGCTGCTTAGGGCCCCACTGCTACTAGGGGACCCCCTAACTACAGATGGTAGTCGCCGCTCAAAGTGTGGGGCATAGAGACGGGACTGGTGGGGCGCGCCAACAGGACGAAACTTTCCTTTTTATGCCTTTATATCTATGCTTTATATCTTTATTTGTTCATGGCGAGTCCGCATCGTCAACTTCATCTTTGCAGCCAAGCTGAAAACACCAGTTTATTAATAAACAATTAAATGTCTCCTTGTTATTTTTTTCACATTCATAATCATTAGCCTACTTTTGCCGGCTCATGCGCTTGAGTGAGGCTTTATAACACTCATTATCCTGTATGGCCTTAAGTTATTTAATCAATATAAAGGGGTGATTTGTCCACTAATGGCTTAAATAAACAACCACTAGTCGACCTTTAGTCAGAGGCAGCCCTTATTCCACATATTTTCGAACCAGCAGGGTTGAGCCATAGACTGTAGGGTTGAGCGCGCGACCCTGAGCGAGGAACATTCAGAAATCTCTGCTCACGCTCTGATCGGAACAAAGGAATATTGAAACAATTAATCAATAGTTTATTTATCATACACTGCCCATCATTTTAAACCCATATCAAACACAGTAGCCTAAGCCTAGCACGAAAAAAAAAAACGTTAGGCTGTTATAAATTATTTTGCGACCCCACTTTGAGAACCACTGGCCTAAGGAAGCCCGTTTTCGCCACAATTGAGTAAAAAATATATTTCTGTAAGTCATAATAATGGGAAACTTTCTCGTAATAATGACTTAACATCTCATAATAATGAGAAATTTTCTCGTAAATGACTTAACATTTCGTAATAATGAAAAACTTTCTCACTAAATAAGTTTCTCCTGGATCATTAAGTATTTACATTTTTTAAAGAATGAAACATACTAACTAAAGAATTAGATTACAGATAATTAATTACAAAAGTGAAGCCACAACTATTGTAAATTTTGCACAGTCGTTATGATTCAAAAAGTGATATAGGCTAGACAGTTTTTAAATAAAAAAAAATCAGCTATCACAAGTTGATGGATTCACAAAACTGAATCTATTGAGTGTCAAGGTTGATCTGATGTAATGTTACATCAGCCTCCCATGTCTTCATTCTTATTTACAGAACACTGTGTTTTCAGACAAAGCAATTTCATTCAAGCCTGATACACACACACACCCTTTCTCTCTCTCTCTCTCTCTCTCTCTCTCTCTCTCTCTCTCTCTCTCTCTCTCTCTCTCTCTCTCACACACACACACACACACACACACACACATACAGTAACTAACATGTGGTTTGTCTTACATTCCACTTCATTGCATACATCGACATTAAGAATGACAAAAAGATCACACTGTCAGTCCACAATCCCAAAAACAGGAGTTTGCTATCAGTCTATCGTCTGCTCACTTGTTAATCAGTACACGTCTATAACAAGTGCACTGAAACAAGGGCCTTTGAAAGAACTAGAGGAAACAGTGTTTAACGTGAGTGCCAGATTCCTTTATATGATTTGCAAGTCACACGAGGAAATGTGAGAATCTGATACTACTGCTATGCATCATGAGTCATTAGCAGGATCAAAAATGAATACAAAAATGAGAGAAAAGGGGAGTGTTTGAGACACCAAAGAGGCAGATGAGAGAGAGAGAGAAAAAAAAAGAGGAGGGAGAAGCCACTTTACATTATATTTGTTTAGACTTGTCACAGAGTATCAGACGTTTGCTTTACTTTGAGAACACCTTCTGCTCAGGCCTCTCATGTGCTACTGGTAAGGGGAGGCACACTACACTGTGAGTGAGAGAGTCAATGTGTTTGTGAGTGAACAGGATGCCCAGAAGGACTGTGTCAGTTCCCCATCCCAACGGGGATCCGACTTCAGGTAATTATGGAAAGAAATGCCCTCTCGAATCAAATGGAGACCCCCACGCTGGAGCCCCCGAGGAGAAGGTGGAATTGGGAAAGAAGGTGACCCTGCTCCGAGGAATCTCTATCATCGTCGGGACGATCATTGGAGCGGGAATATTCATCTCTCCGAAGGGAATTCTGAAGAACTCTGGCAGTGTGGGAATGTCACTGGTGGTGTGGATTGCCTGTGGGATTCTCTCTCTTTTTGGTGAGTGTGTTAACATGTGCATATGCTCTCACACACTGGCTCACATTCACATTATCTTTTTTCCACACATATTATTCAGTTTTAAAAATGACCTAAATATCTCACCCACTCACCTGGTACACATCGACTTTCTTAGTTCCTGATATAATCAACAGTTGGATTTTAATTAGAATCTGAGGAAATGTACAGCCGCTTTATTAACCGTTTGTTTGTGGTTTTGAAATCGTGGCTTACCTAACAGCACCACTGATGTCACAGTCATTCATTAGGACACACTTTACTCACTGAAAGGAAATGAGTGTTGTTAAAAGGATTCATGACTCCAAAATGAAAATTCTGTCATCGTTTACTTTACTCTCATGACATTCCAAACAGGAGACGTTTAGCAAGTTTCAGCTGTTCTCTTCCACACCATGAATTGGGACAATGGGCTGTCCAAAAATGACAAAAGGCACCAAAGCAAGTTTCCTGATGCCATTTGATACGTAGCTTTGTTTGAAGAACAACAAGAGTGAAACTTCAGTATTTACTAAAGTCTCGACTTGAATATTCAGCTAAACTTCACCTTTTGTATTCTAGTCATATAGGTTAAGGCATTAGGGTGTAATTTTCAATGACAAAGACATTGTAAGTTCTATTTTTTGGGTGAACTAAGGTTCATGTTGTCTGTGCACTCTTACACCTGCTTACTGTTGTTTATTTTATTATACGAGTACCGCTAGTTAAAAAAGAGTGATTGTAATGGATGATTGGATGAGAAATGGATGATTGTAATCACATTAGAAAATTTATCCTATTTGAAAATTTGGCACTGACAAAGCTGCATTTGTTCAAATAGCAAAAGGTAAGCATTGCCTTGCTTAAGTTGCTCATTGTGCACATTGCACAATTATTTAGATAGCCTGAGGAAGTTAGGCAGCACTGCGTCAGAAAAAAAAAAAAAACTGATTCATGATTACTCATCATGAGCTGTGAGCTAGTAGAATATGTCTATTACATCTAACTAAAAACTAAAAAACAAATCATGAAGTATTTGGTAACACTTTACAATATAGGGTTAAATTTGTTGACACAAGGATTCCCCACATTTTTTTGTTAGGCCTAAAATATTAACTTAAAATACCCCCAGAAATTTCAAGTTGATATTCCAATAATTTAAAAATTAAAGTTTTTAATGTTGTTTATATGTCTATGTGGTGTTTTTAATATGCTACAAACCATGTGCAAATACATAAGTCAACACCACTTCTGAGTATTTTCTCCTAAAAAAAGAAAGAAAAGAAAGTCTCAAAAACACAGTTTGAAATCATGGGTGTTTCTTACATCACAAACTACCCTGTAACCAATTACGTCAACATGCGGGCAGGAGTCTAAAGAGAAGCCAGGCTCTCCTGGTTTATTTTTCTGTTGATATGAAAAATCATGTACATTCAGTAATATAGCAGGTGAATTATGTTCTAAGTTGGCAGCTGCACAATATAGCACTGCAAAACAGCGTAAAAAGTAGCCTAAATAACGCAAGACAAGGAGTAATTTCAACGTAACCAATTTAAATGTTACCAGTAAATGATACACACTGAGAGAGTAAGTTTGCTTGAGTAAAAACAATAGGCTACTATTCAGATATTTTATGTGGGGAAGGGGGATTGGTTTATTAAACTATGAACGTGAAACTATAGTAAAAACAACTGCCGTTGACGCCAACCGGACGTTCGTGTTCTAAACTAATGGTTAAGAGTAGAGCTTTCTAACCTTTCTAACCTGTTGTTACACCCCTGGATTTAGGGGTGTAGAATATGGTCATGCAGAAAAAGGCATTATTATGTGCTTTATAAGTACTTATAAACAGCCAACATCCTAGTAATATGCATGCTAATAAGAAACTAGTAAATAGTGAGAATTGGACTCTAAACTAAAGTAATACCCATTTTAATTTTACCCAAAGTGATACCCATCTTCATATACCCATTAAAACACTAAAAGTGTTTTATTTTTCCCAAAATAAAACACTTCAAACCGTAAGTGTTTTATTTTGATTGTTTTGTATTTTAAAATATTTTTATTACATACTTTCATAATTTAACTAATTTGTCTTTTCATCAACTCAAGAACCCAAATGTTTCTCGAACTTGACCAAGCTCAGATATAAACACTATTTTGAACAGTAATTCATTACACATTAAAAAGAAGTTCAGGTTTTACTGATAGCCGGCAAGCAAGAATTTCAGGGTATGCATGACGAACCTGATCAGAGGGCCCCTCTAATGCCTAATGTGTGTGTTCGTGCACAATAGAGGCTGATATTGTCTTATGCCGCACTTTGATGGTGAGGAGAGCGCGGTCTGACAACATGGAGGTTGATGGCTTTGTGTATGTGTCGAAGAAGAATTAGTTTGTGTGTAAGAAGAGCATTGTTTGACAGTTTGTTCATTCATGTGTATGCCAGGAGTCATTTCACACTTGTCGGCTTTCTTTTGTGTGCTGCAGCCCAGAAGGCTTTGAGGAAAAGCTGAGCTTCCCATAAAAAAAAATAAATAAATAAAAAAAAACCCTGTCCATTCATCCACAGTTTCACTCAATTGAAATCTGCATTCTCTCTGGTGGGCCTTATATTTTAGAGCTCTCTGTACATTTACCTTTTGAACCTCACAAGTCTAAGGGTGTGAGTGAAGCAGGGCTTTGATTTGAACAGAGTATTTATTAAAATTTTAAAATGCACAAAACTATAAAGAGCTTGTGTAAGTGCTCTCTCTGAAAGAGAACAGATGATCTTAATGAACTGACTTAACCATGTGCCATTAGGGTTGCTTTGCAGGTGTTGTGTAAATCTTGCCATCTTTCTGAATAATTATGTCACTCGCTTTCCACAACTTGACGTTGTCCAGCTACTCTTACCTAATTTTGCTAAAGTATAAAGGTATTCACCTAGTTCTTCATTTTTGTCCTTTTCAGGTGCTCTATCATATGCTGAGCTGGGTACCTGTATTAAAAAGTCTGGTGGCCATTACACATACATTCTGGAGGCGTTTGGTCCGCAAGTGGCTTTTGTGCGATTGTGGGTTGACATGATTGCCATAAGGTCAGTAAATCCTTATTCATCCTCCGTCTTCATTGACAGGTCTCTGGGGCACTTCCAGAATAAACTAACACAATCCCTTCAACGCCTAAAATAAACACAAGCAAACTCTGCCCAGTGAAGGTTATCTCTCAATATTACTGCTGGGGCTCCAGTAGGCATGGAATGAAAACCAGAGATAAAGTGCCTTATGACAATGAACAAGCCATTGTGGAGGCTCTCATGCAAAGGATCAAGCGCTGGATCCAGTCCAGGTTCATATGTAACAATCACAACACCGCCAAGAGTAACAGATGTAGTTTGAAACCAAACAAGCTTCACATGAAGGAGAGCACAAAACATGTTCATGTACAAGTGAGCTGGTTCATGATTATAACAGAAAAATGCAAGATGTTCTAATACAGCCATGATTTATCACATAGATTGTTCTACCTTACTTTGGAACAGTGTTTTATGAGAGATTATATGATGTCCAGTACAGTACACTGAGCGGTCATAGTTACTTTTCTCATCTTGAAGACCTGCAGGTTTTGCTGTGACCGCTCTGGCATTTGGCCGCTATATTTTAGAGCCCATCTTCATGCCATGTGGAGTTCCTGAGACTGCCGTTAAATTGGCCACAGCAATCGGATTCAGTAAGCTTTTTGGCTGCTTGATTACAATATGCATATACCATCTTTATGGACTAGTTCATAAGTGCCATATTCATTTTGAGATATTGTATATTCATTTTCATTGCAGCCATGGCAATGTATCTAAACAGCATGAGTGTAACCTGGACTGCCAGAATCCAGATCTTCCTCACATTCAGCAAGCTGCTCGCCTTCGTCATTATCATTGTTCCAGGATTATACCTACTCTTCAAAGGTATGTAGTTTAAATTATGCTTCTGGCTTCTTGAACAAGAGTTAAATGCACGAAATGCATATATTTATATAAGTAAATGTTTGGTGGATTTCCACGGGAGATTCAAGCATGTCTTTGTGTCATTACGTCACATCTGAACTCACAAAAGAGGAGTCTCGGGGTAGTAGGATATATTGCTTGTCAGGATGCTGGAGATGGACATTTTTAGCTTTTTCTCACAGCATTTTAATTAATTAAACTAATCGTGAGCTTAGAATTATAAGGTTCTATCTCCGTTTAGGGTAGTTCTGAGATATTGAGCATCAACGTTTTTACATCCCAGCTGGCAAAACTGTTATGTAGTATAATCTTCTATTATAGCTTTATCTATTAATCTTTTTTTTTTTTTTAAACACAAAAATAACACCACACAGGCATTAATAAACATTTAATGGATAAGATTATGTCAAAAACTCAATTTCGACCAAAAGTGGAGATAGAACCTTAATTCTAGTGGTGGATCCACAAACGACAATCACCAGTGACAACTAGAGATTCACCATGTGTAAAACTGATTTGAGGGGTTCAAAATGGACCCAGAGACAGATTTTTTTTTTTTTTCCCTTTTGGACAGGTAAGACATTTTAATACTTCAATTCACACAGTTACAGAGTTTCCTTTGTACTGGCTTTTTTGTTTTGTTTTGCTATTATGGTAAATATTAATTATTTTGCTAGCTATAGGGGAGCAATTCACCTCTACTCCATTATGACAAGGAACAAGTCATCAATACAAATTGTGCCAAATAATAATAATAAAAAAAATACTATAAATCCAAAGGTGCACAACTCTTAACACTAAACTTAACATAGTATTAGTGATAGCCGCATAATGTGATTTAGAAATTCTCTCACTTCTCCTGCCGGGCTACATTTACTCAACGGGTGTTTCTCAATACTCAGTTTGATGCTTCCTCATTTCCTCACTCTTCCAACCTGTGACCCAGAAACCGATCAGTGTTAAAATATTGAAAGACATCTGAATTCTCTGATTGCTCCAAGAGGAAGCGAGGAACAAGGATTGAGGAAACTTCCAGAGAAGCTATGAGAGGTGCTGTAATCTTTCTTAGAAGCCTGACGCACATGTAAATTCTCCTCCCTCTCACATCTGTCACAATAATTTTAATTTATGCTTTTCCTTTGACGTTTAAATTAACCATACATCTCACATACTCCAATGCAAGATGCCCTGTTATAATTATTTGTTAAAAATTAAGCCAAACAAAAGCCCGACAGCATCCGACTAGAGAACAACAGTGCAGAACACACCGGAAAAACTAAGTCGGCTGTTGCTCAAAAACGTGTGTCCTTGGCTTAAGGGGGGTGGAGCTGAGACGTAAGGAAAAGAAGTGAGCACAAATTACAAATAAGAAGCACTCAATATGTTCACTTCAGGCAGATCCATAGACCACAATGTACCATGAGTGTGATGTCAAAGCAGATTGAGCTTAATTTACCCCCACCCCACACAACTCAAGTGAATGATATTGGCATTATTTTGACGTTTTTTAATACTTGAAAAAACAGATTTTAATACTTGTTGTAGATATGTTTTTTTTTAACACAGTCATAGTTTATTATATTATCAGTTTTGTTTGTGTATTTTTTTTTTTAGATTTAATAGTTTATATAATTTTATATATATTTTTTAACAGCCCAAGTTTACCTACAGGCCTGAATCTGGTGCATAAACAATTAAAGGAAAACAGAAAAAAAATATATATATATATATATATATATATATATATATTAATCAGCTCCATGGCATATATATTCCAAGTGATCAAGGTCTTAGGGCGTTCCATTTAAAAACATTTCAAGGGTTCCACCTTTAGTGGGCACTCGTGCAATGTGAGCAATGATGTACATCCGAGATGGAAAGAAGTTAGTGAGTGAATCAGCCCCGATTTGACGTCACCTCAGGTTTCCGCACTGGAAGACCTGAGGAGACGTAAACAAACCTGGCTCCTAATTACTTGCATGAAAGTAGCCTACTTCTCCTTGTGCACACTCCTGTCCTGAGTACTGACCAGGGGTGCGTTTCCTGAAAGCATCGTTAGCCAACTATGGTCGCAAGTTGGTCGCAATTTCCATTGAACTCTATTGGTAACGACAGAACTTGTGACCATAGTTGGCTAACTATGCTTTCGGGAAACTCACCCCAGGTTAATTGACCCACACGGTGACATCATGTCATTGACATGATGTGCAAATGAGTGGTAAGACCCTGATCATGCATTCCTTTTTTGGTGCCGTCCCCATCAAGATGCCGCCATGGGCAGTAGCCCACGTTGCCCATGCCTAAAACTGCAACTGACAACTATTAATTTTGATTAATAATAAAAATTAAGCATCCACTTAACTGACATAGGTTTGACTCAGGGAAAACTAAAGTTACAGAGAACATCAGGAAGTCTAAGCTCATCACAATGCTAATAATTTTCCACTGGTTATATCTGCAGGGGAGACCAAAAACTTTGAGAATGCATTTGAGGTCAACACAGTAGACTTATCAGGACTTCCCCTTGCCTTCTACGCAGGAATGTACGCCTATGCCGGCTGGTGAGTCCACCATCTAATTCCATGTAGATCCAATAATGCCGCACGCAGTGTTTGAATACATTTATGGGCTCTTACAGGTTTTACTTGAATTTTGTGACTGAGGAGGTGGAGAATCCTGAGAGGTTAGTGATCAAACATGATTTCTGTATGATTTAAATGTTTAATTCAGCTGTTTCTAGCATGGCAAACCAAATGGCAGTGATGACTTAGGTGTTCATTTCTATTCCTTAGGACAGTGCCTCTTGCCATATGCATCTCCATGGTGATAGTAACGATCTGTTACACACTGGTAAACGTGGCATATTACACCGTGATGTCAGCGGAAGAGCTGTTAGCCTCCAATGCCGTAGCTGTGGTGGGTCACTCCCTGTCTGCTTGTGCTACTATCTCAAAACTTCATTTATTAACAAATCCCAATTAAATTCAATAAACTCAATTAACACAATCCAGGATCCTGTCAGTGTTTCAAGTAGCAGCAGTGACTGGAACATTTAAAAAAAGAGAGCCAGAAAAGAAAAGGAAACTAGTTTTATAAACGAGTTTAAGCAATTTGCAGTAGTGCCTGTAATAGTCAACACCTTCCACTTCCCCAAAGTAAATGTGATTACATAAGGCCAGTGGCTTTAAATGGCTGTCTGCTTCTCTGCTGGAGTACTCATATATCTCTCACAAATAACTGACAGCACCAGAATCTGGCGCAGAGATCTCCTGATAGGCTCTGAAATACTCTAAAAGCTTTCTCATCTTGTTAGACGTCTGTAATGCATTAATTTATAGCCGTTTCACTTTGCATGTCCCTCTACAAGCTCACTCTTATGGAAAATATGAAGCCTTTTCACTTCACCGATTATTCATAAACACGGACAAGTCTAAAAAAATGAAGATCAATGTTGTTTTCCTTTTTGTTTCACAAAATTAGTTCATCTTTCTCACTTCCATCCAATCTTTTCATCTCTTCCCTCTCTATCCATCCATCAGACTTTTGCAGAGAAGCTGATGGGAGACTTCTCAGTAGCAGTTCCCGTTTTTGTAGCTCTGTCTTGCTTTGGGTCCATGAATGGAAGCATATTTGCCATCTCAAGGTGTGCATCTCAGTTTTGAGTCTTTTACAAGGGTCAAACATAGAGTGATAAAGGTTATAGAAATACTAGGAACTAGGAATCTTAATTATTTTGGGAACATCACACAAATTCATACAAATTAGGCACCAATTCACCAAAATGTAAAATACTGTAAGGGGTAAACCACAAAATTTGTATTCTGTCATTAATTACTCACCCTCATGTCATTTCAAACCGGCAAAACATTCATTAATCTTCGGAACACATATGAAGATATTTTAGATGAAATCTGAGAGCTTTCTGTCCCTTCATTGGGAGCGACGCAATTAACACATTGAAGGTCCAGAACGAACGGAAAGACATTATTAAAGTAATACATGTGACTCTAATGGTTTAACCTCCATTTTATGAAGCGATGCGAGAGCTTTGTTTGCACAAAGTGCTTTTGCGAGTGCTTTTGTTTGTAAATTCTGTTTCTCTCTTTTTATTTACACACACAAAGCACTTGCGTCGCTTCATAAATTTGAGGTTAAACCACTGAAGTCACATGGAGGGGTGGTAAAAGTACTCAAAAGTTATACTCAAGTAAAAGTTTATTTACCCAAATAAATTACTACAGTAAAAGTAGTAAGTCATCCATTCAGTCCTCATCACAAAAGTATCCAATTTGAAATGTACTTAAGAATCGAACGTAAAATGTAAATATTCAGATTAACTGTAAATAATTAATAATCAATAATCAAGGAGATCAATTGTTTTGGGATTGATTTTTTATTGAATGTTTTATGATAGAATTAGATACTGCAATTAAGAATAGCTTAGCTAGCTGTTTACAAGGCACGTTTAATATAAAATCACTTGGCTAACAATAATTAGTAACATTAAAGCAACTGTGAAGAACTTTTCTTCTGCGGTCCCCCTACAGGTTACAAAGTGATCATTACTGACAGTGAGAGCTGCACCTTCACATGTTGTTGGGGTCATCTTCAACTTCGCAATGATGAACTGACTGCTATTAGAGTGAATGCTGGCAAAGAGCTTGTGCGATCTTTTTTTCAAAAGAAAACCAAATTTTTCATTGGTTTGGAAAGCCAGTGTAATAAATACTTGGAGCAGGCATGGGGAAATGTATCGGAGTAAAAAGCAAACTTTGTCTTTAATATTGTAGTGGAGTAAGAGTGAAAGTAGATGCAAATAAAAAAAAAAAACTCAAGTATAGTACATAACCCTAAAAAAAATACTTAAGTAAAGTAATAACCTATTTTACTTACCACCACTGGTCGTATGGTTACTTTAATGATGCCTTTATACCGTTTTGGACCTTGAATGTGTAAATTGCACACTGTAAATGATTTCTGTTGTTTTCACAGGATTATACTGTTTTTCTCAACAGTTTCTTACTGTATAATCTATGTACAGTAAGTTACAGTAGATTTAGTTGTTTTCACAGTATTAAATTGTTTTTTCAACAGTTATGTACTGTGCACACAGTTGACAGTATGTTACTGTAGAATTGCAATGCATTCTGGGAAATTATCAGTTACTGTTAATCGAAATACAGCAGTGCAATTGACCGCGAAAAACACCACAAACAGTTCCACGGGTAAAATTGCTAGCCTACTAATGTTATTCCCACATTTAAAATAAAAATGTAGCACTGGTTGACCATTAACAGTCATAATTTATGACATAATTTATGTCAGTGGGGTGTGCATGAGAGCATATTTGACTTTGGAAGAGTTTCTCTGTCGTGTCAGTGGTGCTGCTGTCTTTTCTGCCGACCTGCAACTTCTTCATCTGGTAAGTAATATTCTTTAAAATTCTTATAATGTGTATGCAAACGGATTCTAGCTAATAATAACTTTAAAGTTATTTAGAATAGCTGACCACGATTTCTATATTCAATTTAATATATTCTAGACATTTTAATATAATATGTATATGATAGGCTACTCTTCAATGTAGCCATTTGGGATGTTACTGTAAATTCAAATACATTAGTACGAAATGACCGCGAAAAATAACCACAACAAGCTGCCATTTTATGAAGAACTCTTCAGTTCCCTTCCCTCTGTAAGAACACGCAGGCCGTGCATCGCGTCGCTGTCGGTCGGCAACGTTTTCGCCATACATCTGGTTAGTAATTCATATTTTTATGCAAACCATATGAGTTAACAGATTACCGTTAGAAAGAAGTGGCCGCGGAATGTTCGATAACGTCTGTATAAGTCAGACGCGGATTTCTTTTATGTTGATAGCCTTGCTTGATTAAATGTGATTTTATTAACATATATTTCATATGTAACCTCATACGGTCAAAATGGTCTAATCATTTTGTTATTTACCACGTTAAGTCGATGGAAGCGCCTGCACGTTCATTATTTTATGACTTACAGGGGTTAGGAATTGATAATCGATAAATGTATCCTGAAATCGGACATCCAAGGTTAGGATTCGGATTTATTGTTATAAAATTAAAGTGCCGATTCCTCTTATTGATTTTTTCACGCTTATTTTCGTGTAAATCCTGACCTGGCGTTCTGCCATTATAACGTTACCTCAGTGATAAAGTTGGACCGCGGAAAGCGCCCAAGGTGTATGTGTGACATTTACAGTATTTGTTGTGGTCTTTGTTAATCTTTGGTTATCATTAACGACACATACACGAGGGAGTTGAACACTTTACTAGCGAACTTAGAATCAACAACAACAAAAAAAACCCGGGTCATACCAACTACACAAACTGACTGGGGGTGTTCCGGTAGGAACCATTCACTGCATATACTACAGTATTGTCGGCTATAATATCATTTTTTTTTTTTTTTTTTTTTTTTTTTTTTTACTAGGCTATGTGTAAACTGACATGTACTCATTTGAAGGGAACGATGCCTTGTCAATCTTTTTTTAAGTCATGTAACTTAGTATCACACAAGCAAGATTTAGCCTACGTTTTCACGTGATCGTAAATGAATTGATTTTAAACAACAGTCCAACAAACAAGATTTTAGTATTAAGTGAATTACACTTTAGACATCATTTTGTCTGTTTTTGCTGTTTAGCCAAAACAACAACAAAAACGTACTATATTTTAACTGTCTTGTCTGTTCTCCTTTTCCACAGGTGTGAGCTGTGCATGTTAAGAAGACCCCTATCCATCTTGACGACCGATGAATTGTAAATCTAATCTAATTTAATTATTCTATTTATCTAACTACTACTACTATACCTTGGTCCAGTACTGACCCACTGAGAACATTTTAAACGGATTTTTATCCATCTGTGAATTTTGTCTATCTGCAAGTTGTTTAGAATTGTTGTGTGAAAATAAACGTTACAGTACAGTTTAAGGTTTAATTGCATAAAAGCTTGGATAGAAAACTTCCTATTGCAAAAGTTAGAACATAAGTCTGCATATAAATAATTATTGATACCGTAATGCAAGTTTTTCATGGCACATGTGCATGATGAGGTTGTTTTGTGTTTATTTTTTATTTTTTTTAAAGGACACTGGATAACTTGTCATTTTGTTATACTCATCTGGATTGGTGGTTTACTCGTCAAAGCTTTTATAGTTTATACGTTTATATGTGTCTCCCAGCCCTGCAAATCTGGTCCCTTAGATAGAAAGCAGCCAAAAACCCTTTAAAATCAGCAACTGACCAGTTAGACAGTCTATCTCAAACCAATAGACAATCTTAGACTAGTTTAAGCTGTTTTACCCCAGCATGGAGTGGGTGGATGAGTTGTTATGAACTATCTTTCTAATAGATTGATCAGATAGCTCCCCTTTAATCTTTTCTATTTACCTGTTCATGATAATTTTTGCATGTATTTATGCATAATTGTTCATGATTGTCATGCATGATTTTTATTGTATTATATTACATTTTTATTATTAATGTATTTAATTGTATTAATGTATTTAAATGTATATTATGTAAATGTACTAATGTGTTTGAAAATACACAATAAACCTTGTGCAGTTAAAGCTTCAATTGTTCTCTTTTCTATTTCCCATTAACAGTTAAAATAATATTTCTACGGATTTTCTACAGGTTACACAGTAGCACTATAAAATAAATACAATAACATTTCATACTATACAGTATTATTAAAAATTAACAGTGTAATTCTGTACTTTAATATGGTAAGAAATTACAGTAAAATAATGTTATTTAATTTGCAGTATGCTTAACAGTACTGTAGTTAGTGTTACGGTAATTTTACTGTTAAATGAAATACAGCAAGTACTGGATAATTGTTGCCAGTAAGTTACTGTTAATTTGACAAGAAATTTTTTACAGTGCATTGCTCCCAATGGAGGGACTGAAAGCTCTCTGATTCAACCAAAAATCTCTTAATTTGTGTTCCGAAGATGAAAAAAAAAAAAGGTTTTACAGGTTTGGAACGACATGAGGGTGAGTAATTAATGACAGAATTCTTCATTTTTTTTTTTTTTTTTTTTTTTTGGAAGAATTGCCATGAGAGGGTATTGGAAATTACACCAAGTACATGATTTTTTTTAATTATTTTTCAAATGACCAAATGATTGTTGGTCACACAATTAATTGTTTTAGGCTTTGACACATGTTTAATATTTAGTTTCAAATCCAAAGTTTCAGAACATCAACTATATTATGCCTTGGTTCGTATTTCTACAGTGGATGTTTTAAACCTTTTACATTTTGTTTTTCATCCACAGAATGTTCTATGTCGCCTCTCGAGAAGGTCAGCTTCCTGAAGTTCTCTCTATGATTCACATACACCGACACACGCCATTACCTGCTGTGATTGTCCTGGTGAGTCATAGACACAAATGTCCAACTCAATGGTCACCCTTACTGATAAAACCGTTTGAGCTATTTTGAAAGCTTCAGAATAAAAACATTACTTATGAAACTGACTATTGTATATGTTCCTACAGATAAAATAAAATAAAATATATATATATATATATATATATATACACATATATACACACACAATTACTTGTACAAATACCAAATATTACAAAAAATAAAAATAAATAAATGTTTGTGTGTGTATATACAGTAATATATATATATATATATATATATATATATATATATATATACACACACACACACTGTATATCAAAGATTCAAAAGTAGCCTACTATTAAAATAATTAAAAATATACAAATATACTAACTGACATATGCATAAACATTAACTTTAAATTAAATTAACTTTAAATTTACCAGTCATTTTCATGCTGCACACCTTTCTAAAAGCTCTCGTCTTTCTTTCAGTATCCGATCACACTACTGATCCTCTTCCTAGGGGACATCTACAGCCTGCTGAACTTCATGAGCTTCCTACGCTGGCTCTTCATCGGGGTGGCAGTGGTCGGCCTCATCTACATGCGATACACACGCCCCGATATGCCTCGACCTTTTAAGGTGACCCTCTTTTCTGTTCTGGCAGCCTGTTACCTCATGTCCAACACATCTCTAATGCAAATTATTAGTTAAATATCTAGCAGGTAAGAAAACATGGTAGATTTAATTCTAAGGGGTATGTTAGCAGAGGAGAGGCAAGAGTTAGCAGAGGAGAGCAAGCTATTGAGATCTTGTAAAAAAAAATTTTTTTTTTCAGGATTGAGATCTTACAACCCTGGCTCTAGGGATGCAACATAAAGGACACAAAGACAGAAGTCTGCCAATCAAAATAAATTATATTTAATATAAAAAGAAAAAGGGACTTTAAAAGCAAAAAAAAAAAAGAAAAAAAAAAAAAAAAACACTGCTACTGCTCTGCCGGCTGCGAGAGAGTGTGAGAGAGCGTGAGAGACCCATCGGGTGACACCAATTGGCTTTATACATAGCTGCACTACTTCCTGAACTTAAGCCAGCTCCTTGTTTCCTGTCTGCCATTATTGGCCGAACTTGATTAATTCAGGTGTGTCTGATTATTGTTGCCGTGACTACTGAGGTCAGTCGATTTAGAGAGACGGATACATCTGACGTTGTTTGAGAATCATTGAAAAATGTGAAAAATCACCAATCACAATTTGACCTTTGATGCATGTAAACCTGTTGTAACTAAATTACATAGGAGCCTTTAAAATGGCATAATGGGGCATATTAAAGGAAATGAAAATTCACACTTAAGACACTCCAAACCAATTTGATTGTCAAAACACTGTCTGTACAGGCCAAAATAAACAGGTGTACTCTTCAAAAAGGGAACAAAAGCACCATAAAAATGATGAAAGTGGCCTACTCACTATATTCCAAATCTTCTAAAGTCATATGATTTGAGGCTTACATTTATACAGTACATATAGTCTCAAGTGAAAATCTCAAGTCTCAACTCTATAGAACACACTTTTAATTTCTCTTTATCTTTGTATTTTTCTCTTTCACAGGTCCCCATTATAATTCCTACTGTTTTCTCCTTCGCCTGTTTCTTCATGGTCTTCCTTTCTCTATATTCGGATCCAATTAATACTGGGATTGGCTTCGCCATCTCTCTCACTGGCATCCCTGCATACTACATATTCATCTACACCGAAAGAAAACCCAAATGGTTCCAGAAATTCTCAGGTCAGAGGTTACATAAATGCAAATGGCAACAGTGTAAAATTTCTATTTTTTTTTCTTTTTTACTAGTTACACATGAATGATTATTATAATGACTTTGGCATTCCAATTTATTATTATATGACTGGTCTTAAACTCTTGGAATAACTCTTGGAAATGTATTCCATATAATATCATATTAGAATATGGTAAAATCTTAAAACATATTCTAAAACGTATTAATGTTTGTTTCCCGTGTGTTTTTCAGACTCAGTGAACAGATCACTACAGATCATCCTACAGGTGGTTCCTGCAGAGCACTGACCGCTATCCTTTTTTTTTCTTTGCATGTGTGACTGTGTCTGAACAGTATCTATAGTAGTTCTCTCACAACCAAAGTGTGTTCTGATTGACAGCAGGGAGAAAACAATACTAAATCCAAATAATATAATCAACTGAAGCAATGCCAGTTGAGACCTATTTCTGTCTTACATCCAAAAATGAGCAAAAACAATCTCTGAAATGTCTCTGCCTCAGTCCACCTGAGAGAGAGATGCAACACTGTCATTTCAAAATATTCATCTTCCAATGCTGTGAAGAACCTAACATGAGTGACATAAAGTCCATGCATATCACCTGTGGTGTTTTAGAACCGTGCTCACTTATTCAATTTTCACGGCTATATTTTTATACACGTCAACGTCACAGACGCCATAAGTGATTCCACTCCATGAAGGGTGACTCAAGAATGGGTTCAGACCGGGATTTGGACATAATGTTACACTCTCCTCAATGGCTGAGGTAATTGAAATTGTGTTATACTGACATGACTGTACACACTGAATAATGGCTATCTTGTAGGGTCTGACCAATAGGTTATTTATGACATCTCACATACACCACAGTGACATTTATCTATTACGCTACACTGGATAATCTGGTATTCTTATTGCCTATAGTGCTACAGTATTTTATTGTACCATGCAGGAGAATTCCACAGTGCACTAATTTATGTTTATTAAACCATTAGACATCTTAAATACCCAATTCAGCTTGAGAAGTGATTATATTTATTCCCAAATGAATTGCCACTATAGTAATGATTTTGCACATTAACATTGTGTTTGAATAATGAATTACACACATAATCAAGTAGGCAGGTGCCCTACTATAGAATATGTGCCTGTTTAAAGGGATACTCCACTGTTGTTGTTGTTTTTTTATATATATTAAACTGTTATTCCTAAAATGTTGAGTTGAGACATATCTCTCTAGTCTCAGTGCGTGCACTAAATCTATCTGTCTTTCACCGAAAATCTGTTGGCACTTAGTTCAACCCAGTTCATTCATTAGGATCCAAAGAGAGAAGCGACCAAACACCTCCACGTTTTTAACCACATTTAACCCTCAGATTATCTTCATTTGCATCTACACTAGTTATCATTGGGGTCTCCAGGGACCACAGATAATAACATTTAATTTTGTAACAGAATAAAAGTTTTTTCTTTTCAACATTATTATTATTTTACACATTTTAAAAAATGTATTAATGTTTTTACTCAACATTTGTACAGTTTTTGGAGGATTTATGATATCTATTCAATTTCTATAAATAAATACAGAATTATTTACTTAAATACGCTTTTTACAAAAACAAAAACAAAAAACAAAACTGTTTTTATGTAAAATTACCTATATAAAAGACCCACATTTTAAACTTTAATTCATGGAGATAACATGGATAATTTTACATGGTTTAATGGAAAATACAGATTTCCAGAAAAAAACAAAAAAACAAAAAAAACAAGGTCTTTAACCACTAGATGGCTGTATGCTATTTTTGACTAATCAAAATATATCTTTTCACAAGTTTTTCCAGTTGGATTTATATCTAAATATTATAAAATCACTATAACAAAAAAAAAAAAGTCAAAGTTTAGTATTTGTTGTACTGACAAAAGTTTTTCAATAATGTTACATTGTGATCAAAGACGATTGCAGCTGGAGAATTGATATGTAGCCTATAGATTCCACTATCACGTGTGTTGTAAAAGAAATCGACAGCGCATTCATTTTAATTGATGAACAGAGAACTGCAATCAAGGCATTTGTCAATCGGAAAGATGCGTTTGCCGTCCTTCCTACGGGATTCTGAAAAAGTGTAGGGCCTAATTTATCAGCTAATTTATCAGCACACTCGCAGTCATGGAGGACCAAGTAAAAGAAGCAACACTCATTATTTTACTACTTCTTCCAGGATACGTGCAGTTGAGTTCTGTAGACAACTATAGGCTATAGCTCACTTGTCACTTCGACTCGGCTCAGTAATATCGTCACTCACCCAGCTAAGTGCTAACAAAGTTTTGCCGCAAGACAGAGAGAGACGAGAGAGGTATGTATAAACTTGTCTTAGTTAAGGGAAAAACATAGTTTAATATGAAAAAAAAAAATGGTGGAGTATCACCTTTAATTAAATCAGTATTATGTAATACTAGTATGACTGTTTTAGATAATTCTACATCGACTGGTATATTTTTGTACACATATTTTGTAAAACTATATATGAGCAAACTTTGTATGACCATTTCTACCACATTAAATAAATCTATTTCCCTTTACCTCTGCTATATATACAAGTTTCCATGATGTTGTTTATATTTAGGTGTATGGGGTGGAACGGTGTATTCGTATTGAACCGAAACGGTACCGGCGTCACGGTTCGGTGCATTAATTTACACAGAGAATACACAGTATGGAAAAAAAAAAAAAAAAAAAAAAAAACTCGCACGCAAATTAATTAATCTAATGCAGAACTACTGTTAGATACCCTGTTTTTTTAGGGACACATAATCTGTAGCCCCACTTTGGTGAACTATGCCTACAGCATGTATGTTTAACAGTGTTGTCTCTGCGTTGTGTTGTGTGTTAACTCAAGATGGACACCAAATCACGCAACTGAATATTCCGCCATGTCCCAACTATTATCGCCGCAGCACTTGATGCTTGCCTTGCACAATACATTTTGAGAGAAGAGAAAGAAGACGTGGCACCTCTGAAAACTCCCACTGTTTGTGAAATTGCCTATGGCAGATAGTTGTTAAAAGAATGATATGATTTTATAATCTGTGTGGATTATGATTGCAGAAATTTCCCACATTTTAAATGGGAGAACTGTGGGAATGATTCGAATTTTGCGCAATACCCGCAAATCCTGCGCTGACATTCGAGCCCTGAAAGCAGAAAATGTGTTCTTTTCACACTGTGAGGATTTTGATCAATGAAGTCTGCTGTTGTAGAAAGAGACTAGTCAATGAAATAACAGTAGACATGTAAAACCCAACACACAGTGTTTCTGTGTGGGTAGATTGTTGGCATTGGATGGGATCTAGGAGCAGCAGAATGATTGATCCAATGATCCATTCCACTAGAATGATTGCATTACTCCTCTAATACCTCAACCGCTTAAAGAGCCATCCTAAGAAGATGAGAATATAGTAAGAAAGAAAACAGAAGGCTGAGGAAGAAAACTATACTTCACACTTCCATAAAATCGTATGTGTTATAGTCAGCACAAGTTTGTGTGTGTGTTGGCAGCACAAGGGGTCCAATATCGCAGGCAACAAAGCTCAAATGACTTTGTGAATAAGTTGAAGCTGGTGAACCAGGATCCAGTGCCAAGATCATGGCCCTGGCCCAAAACACTAACACACACAAGCAAACACGCTGGAGTGAACATATCCCTGCCATTGTTGGACAAATGCCCAGTACATCATCAAGAGATGACCAGCTCCTGGGATGGGCATAATGCCATTAAAACGAGGAGGCACATGTCTGCACAAACCAGTTAGCACAGTCTGAAGTTAGAGGTACGTTACAGCTCGGATATTTATAGATACAGTTATAGATTCAAATATACACTTTTTTATGCAATTTTAAGAGACGGGAACCCTACAATCTGAGAGCAAGGTCAATAAGATCAATAAAAGGGACAGAATGGGATGATGTACACATGCAGAATGATGGAACATGGAGATGGAATGTGTGTACTGGATCAAACTAATCTGGACCAGACTATAGAGATGCATGGGCTGAAACTATGGTGACAAATATAGAACATTAACTATTTTCATCTGTCAACATTATCTATCTATCTATCTATCTATCTATCTATCTATCTATCTATCTATCTATCTATCTATCTATCTATCTATCTATCTATCTATCTATCTATCTATCTATCTATCTATCTATCTATCTATCTACATTTGTTTATATTATTTCAGAATATATAGGCCTCATTTATTAACTAGCAGTTTCATCCCAAGACTGCATTTGGAAAAAAAAAAAAAGTAAAATGAATACAGCGTAACATTATATTATTTCAGATTATAATATGTCAGATTTTCAACCATTTTCTGTTGGTTGAAACACTGTCTTTCTTCCATCAGTTACTTCTGCAGTTCCAGCTGCTGTCACATGGTGGCGATAATGTAAAACTCAACAATCAGGCCTCCACACATGAAAGAGCTAAGAAGAGGTTGTGTACTGTGAGATCTCCATCGATCAGTTAGACACAGCAGCTGCTGCTCACAACAACAAATAACTTTGTGATCTATAATGCATTTTCTAATCCGTGCATCTGCACACTCGTTCATCTCCATGATCGGCTTCACGTCGAAGATCAACAGCTCCTTCGGCCCCTTCAGACAGGGTCATGATTCTGCCTGACAATAAGACAGTGGGACTGATTTACACTTTCCTATACTCTCTTTTAAGACCTCTGGTTTACTTCACATTTCAGACACTTTTACAGCTAATAAACCATCCATCCAGGGCCGTACCACAGACATGAAGAGGGACATGTTGCTTCCAATATTCAGATTGGTCATTAATCAGAGTGGGTTTTTTCAATGATAACTTGATGAATCTTGAATTTTTGGTAACATCCTTCCTTCAATCCCTTATTCAATCAATCAATCCATCCATCCAAACAACCCAATTAAAAATGCAGTTATCACAGCACAAGTGACCCAAGTCGTTGCACTACCATTTTGTACAGTGATCAAATGTGGGTGGGTTTCTTGGAAGACTGAGATCTCATTTACATCAATTGAAGAAATGGAACATGACATGAGAGGAGCAAGGCCCACGATACATTAGTTTGACAAACATGTGTGCACTTTCCATGTGTAAAAATGCAAATGCATTTGTTATCTTGCACATATGTGACTATATATATATACCAACTTTAAGAATATGTGATCAGTATTAAAAGAGACGCAGGCCAGGTGACTAACCAATGATCACATGCTCCATCCTGGTCCATGCCCATAATGTGTGTGTAACAGAACTTGAACCTTCTGTCTTTGTTTGTAACTAACATTGTGAATGTCCATTTGTCCGTTCTACAAATCTGTGCATCTATGTTTATGTTTTTGTGCTGTGACTGGCAGACAAAGTCACCTAAATTACTTACACTCCATCTATTACAGAGTGATTCACGCCTGCCTGACATTTTATTAGCCATGGGGTGTCTGTATGTGCCTGTGTGGTTTGTGATGGAGCAGATATATGCATGCGATCCAATTATCCCTACAAAAAGTAAGAACATGCATATGTTATGCTTATATTCATGGGACTTCATACACAACACACACAGCACTGGGGTTTGACACCATCATAATATTAAGTGTCCCCAACTTACAAAGGATCCCAAACTCCATCAGAAACATCAAAAACATCTATTTAGAGACCAATCGTTGCAGAATATCCAGGCTAACTTCCATGTCAACTTCCCATGTGCTATACCTAACCTACAGACCTTCCATCTTTGTTACATATTAAATTATGGATAATGTTTACTGTATGTGCTTCCTTATACATAAAAGGGTTTATCTGTGTGTTGGCTCATGTGTCAATTGTAGCAGTAAATACTGCAGCTTGTGCATTATTTATATTGCATTATTATTTATCCCTGTTGCTTGGGCACAGTGCACTCATTTGTCATGACACAGAAAGTTCTTCTATTATCAGAGACATTCACATGCACACAAACAACTTTACTCAAAAACTTTTTAAGGAATACCACTATTCAGACACATCTGATGCAGTTTCATGTTCAGATTCAGTAGTACCTTCATCTGAACTCAGTTTTCAGTTTGTGAGACAAAAAAGACAAACATTAACCAAACTGGACTGTGCAGTTGTTGTATGCTCACTTAGGAAGAACGAGGTTCAATCCTACTGTAAATGGCAAGAAATGGAAAGAAAGGGAATCTACAAAGGAAAGGAGCTCCCAATGCATGTTGAAGTCAATATGAAACTCGAAAATGTGACATAATGAAAAGGAGTCTATTTAAACAGAAATTACAACAACAGTACAAGCATATACTGTATCTAAGGTGTTGTCCAATAAAATGTTGTCAAAGATTTCCAGGATCCGTGTATAATCTTCAACTAATACAAGACAGACAGAATCATAACCAGACTGTAAAATCAGTACTAGAAATGAGAAAACTATCTACATGCGTCATCTACACTCACCTAAAGGATTATTAGGAACACCACTAATACCGTGTTTGACCCCCTTTCGCCTTGAGAACTGCCTTAATTCTATGTGGCACTGATTCAACAAGGTGCTGAAGTTGATGGAGATTTGTGGGATGCACATCCAGGGCACAAAGCTCCCGTTCCACCACATCCCAAAGATGCTCTATTGGGTTGAGATCTGGTGACTGTGGGGGCTATTTTGGTACAGTGAACTCATTTTCATGTTGAAGAAACCAATTTGAAATGATTTGAGCTTTGTGACATAGTGCATTATTCTGCTGGATATAGTCATCAGAGGATGGGAACATGGTGGGCATAAAGGGATGGACATGATCAGAAACAATACTCAGGTAGGCCGTGGAATTTAAATGATGCCCAATTGGCACTAAGGGGCCTAAAGTGT